AAAAGCATTTGAATGGTATTTAAGATCTGCTGAATCTGGGTTGAATATTTCTCAATTCAAATTGGCTGAATGTTACCGATATGGTTTCGGAATACCAATAGATCTTGATCTAGCGTTAAAATGGTATCAAAAAGCGCATGAAAATGGTCACGATCGAGCAGGAGAGCTGGTTGAATCTTTTGATTTTGAAAAAATATATTCATATTTTTAAAGTTAGTTAAAAAAGCTATTCTTTCATTTCATAATCACGAAAGTTTGCCAGTAATTTACGAGCAACATTTAGTTAGCATATATCAAATTCACAATTCAAATTCACATATTAAATAGAAAATTCAATGAGATGTCTTTTATGCTGCAATTTTCAATCCAAAGTCTACTTATAAAAAAATAACAAATTGATCTGATAAATCATGATTTGAAGATTCACTGCCGAAACAAATGGTCAAATCAATTATGATGCATTCTTTCTGATACTCGATTTTTGTTGGTTGGAAAACAACAAAATTCATTACAAGCATAGCATACAATGAATTGGTAATTACTTATGGTGACCATCAATCAAGCAGTTTAAAGAGTGTAGAGAAAACTTTGAAAATAATCTTCACTCAGAAGCAGTCAATCCTCAAAAAATCTGACTGCTTGTCAAGAATCCAAGAAAACAATATAACAGATTGTTGGTGAGGTTAAAATTATCCAAAGAAGAGCCCATCATATATTTCACAAAGATGTGATAATATTTTTGTTACGATAAGAAGTAGGTCTTTTGAGTGAATAAGACAAGCGATAAATTAAAAATCAATTACAAATCGAAATCGATTTGTTTATCAAATATACAGATATTCAAAAGACTCTTTTTCATACTCTACACACACAAAGTGTATCAACGCGTGCGTACAAAAGAATAACTCTTCATTACTTTTTAATTCATTATTTGCAAAATTAACGAGAATAAGATACAGTAGGTCATCAAAATGGTCCGGCCAGAATTATTTTGTGATAACTATTTAGATACTCAAAGGATCCTACCTTACACAAGTTTTTCCCATGTTGTTGTGGTATTTTTCAGGAGCACAACATAGGTCAAAGGTTGCAACAGCCGTTCGCGAAGCTTCTGAAATCAAGATGTTAGTTTGGTCCCGATTTCATAGAAAATTTATGGCATGAGGTGATCGCCGACGATCTCCTGCACCGTCTAGTCTCACAGAACTCGAAGAATACGTGAAAGTGCCTTGGAATGATCTTGCACCCGAATACTATCGAAAGATTATTTATAGTATGCCCGATAAATAAAATAAGTTTAAATATTAGCTTCTAATCAAATTTAATGGTTCGTAAGTGACCGGATTCCCATGATGGCCACTGTATATAAGAACAACTACAATTTTATAATGAAACACTTCCAATATCGTGCGTTTTATTAAATGATACTGATATGTATTATTAAATTATATACTTTATTCAATTAAATAGCAAATTTATATCTTTTTAGTCTAAAAACATGTTCTATATGTAGTTATAACTGTGTTTGGAATTAAAGCACAAAGACCAAAAGTAACTTCTATTTCTTTGTGTTTGCGCATATCGATATACATTTGTTCATCTAAATCTTATATATCACGTACAATTACGAAATGGTCATCGTTTATTTCATACAGAAATATAAATAACGATAGCGAACTGTCTAGGGATGATATCGACTCGGTTCAGTTCGGTTGAAAAATCCCGGTTTGTGATTTGAACCGCGGTTGTTAATTAATCACATGCGTGAAAATCGAACCAACAATTAACACATACAAATTTATTTATATCTTAACGTTAATTATGACAATAACATTAACTTTTAAAATAAATAAGTGAATGAAATATATTTCTATTTGTATAGTATCTATCAATAACAGTTTCTATTAATAATTAATCTATTGAGCTGATATTGGAAAAAGGCGGTTTCGAACCTTGTGAGAGTATGTGCAGCAACTGAAAATGCTTGCTCACATGGAACACTTGTGCCTTGAATAGCAAGATAACTTCGTGC